CGCGATCAAGGTATTACACTCCTTTTTTAAATGGAATTTATCTATTGAAACCACTTAAAGACGATGTATATGATATCCGTGTAGAATCATGATCGCTCATCAATAATTATGCCTCTTTTTAGTGCTATTTAGCGTTACCTCCAATGTGCTTGTAAAACTGTAGAAGGAGGAGAACAGATCAAGTACTTTCTATTGAGCTCAGACGTGCACTGCACGCCGGACACATGATTAGTTCAATGCCACGAAATAATAAACGGTGATATGTAAGAAATTGGTAATGAACTATGATGAGGCCATGCTGGAAATAGTTTCAGGTGATGATTTATTGTCGTTCCTAGCGTAAGATACCACTGCAGTTTACAAATGTATGCATCAGCATCATACACTCCATGCAGTAAAGAGATCCAACAGGTAGATGCTTGAAATGGCACCCTGCACAATAGCGGAGTTTGGATCGTCAATCTGTCTACTAGTATAATGCTCCTTCAACAAATCACATCAGTAGTATTTTCACGAGTCGGGTCCATCTAAATTAAATTTCTTTTCGTTGCTAAAGAAAATGAAATGCTTTTCCTTTTTCTACGTTACATGACTTTAAGTTCACAATTAAACCTTTTCTGATTATAAAGTTGCTAGAGCCATGGGGGAATACCTCAGTCACAGTACAGTTCTGAGTCCCGATATATTTTTGTTCAAATGGAAGATAACTTGTTGACATTTTATATTTTGGCCTTTTATTTGGTTGCCACCTACATCCTTGAAAATGTCGAAGAGCATGCAGGGGAGAGCGGAGATACTCCAAATTGCTAAGGGTGGAATAGTTTTGTCACCAAGTGTACATAAATGATAAAAACCAGATGGAATGTGGAGGGATTGGTGAATGTGATGGTTAAGGGTTTAATAGTAAGCAAATAGGTGCCAAATAGAACGTTTTAAGTCAACGTATTAACGAAGGTTGAACAAATGCAAATAAGCATCCGTAGACCGCGGTCTAGGATCCTAAAATCCTACGCAAATGATCAAGAGAAAATAAACGACGTAATAAAATAATGCCAGGATATCGTACTGATATGCAGAAAATTGGAGAGAGCTGATTATGCTGTACTAAATTGTCTTAAATTGTCTTATATGTTACAATTTTCAACTAATGGCTTGAAAGCGGGAGGAGTGACCAAAACGGAACGTTGTCTGTCCAAATGCTTGAATTCGTTTAGCAAGAAGTAGCAAAGCATTGTGTAAAGAAAAGGTAAAGCTATGAGGGACTGAATAGCATGAACAATTTCATAAATTTGAACTCTTTAGATGATAATTTAGACCAATTCTGAGTTGGAGAATATATGCGTTGTGTGATGAATTGTAGAGTAAGTGATTTACTTTCAGTGATATAGGAATGAACTAACTAAATGTAAAATGGTGTAAAATGGTGGTAAAATGGTGATAATCAAAAGTACGACAGAAATAAGCGACAAGAACAATGGACATGTGTATAAGGCAAACATAGAAATATAAATGTCCATTAAAACAATGCGGACTTATTGAATCTTTCTGAAATAAGTGCTTTGTGTTCCATTGTCAATAATATAAAAAATGATTTCAGAATTTTTTGGATCGAAGCCACAGGAGTTGATCGTCTGATGTTTCTGAAGATTAAAGAGATTAAGTGCTAAGATGTGGTTTTGAGTTGTGCCCAACGCACTCCAATCGCCCGGCTGAATTCGGTAGTTGTTGCCTTCCTTGTCATTTTTAGGCTCACGCCTGCGTGAAATGAAAAAAGTTGACTCTTTGATTCCACAGACTGAAAAACATTGATTTTTCTGGTGTTGACCACAATAAACACAAAATACAGAGCCTCCGGTACATTTTTAAAACGAGTTGTTCTCACAGTCTCGACGAGGTGCAACAAATTACGGGTGCACATCTTGCGGCAGGAGGGGGGGGGGGG